TACGAGTACAGTAATCAGTTATCTTCATCTGTTTCCTGTTACTTGCCCAATACACACTTTCTAAATTACGTTCAATGTACATATCAGAGAAATTCAGGAATGAAAATGACGTTACATACGAGGTTGATGCATTTGTGCATGTCGCACTAAGCAAGGTATAAAAACAGTTGCTTTATGAGGAATTAGTTCGTACCATTGAATATTTGACGCAATAGACAAGGTGTTGCAGAAACCGATGTTGCTATAACCAAGTTTTACTGTACTTTACTGTGTCAGCCTTCTTTACACACAAGGTTTATCATTCCTTCTAACTACTGAAATGAAGTAAGGTTTAGTATAAAAACCTTTCAGACTATATGTTATGGTTATTGTGCTTAAAGTTTCCTGTCACATTTACAAAGTGAAAATTTGTAGGAGCCCAAATATGACACTACGTCTTGAATAAGTTGCATACATTTCAATTTTGTTTGTAACTCTCACAGCTTGAACTCAGAACACTTGGAATTTTTTTATCCTCATTATTTGTATATATTAGGTATCTAATGCTACTTAAATTATCCCTCTAGACCCATTAATACACAGTGTCTTAGAATAAGTATACAGTGATAGAGAAAGTTTGGTAATGTGATAATTTAGAAGATTGGTATGCTAGGTAGTGTTGTTGAGGCAGGTAATAGCAGGGATAGAGCATGGTCATGAGTCCCACAGGACTTGGAACTGAGAATGACTGTTGTGGCAATGGCCAGCAGCATTTTACCCAAACCACACCAAACTGTTTCGAAGTGTTGATCATGATTTTCTGAAGAATGCATGACAAGAAACAGAATACCACTTTGATTGGTGCAAAGCTACAATTGAAGCACATGTTTGGGCTTCATAAAGGTCACAAATATTTTGAATTCTTCATTCCTGTGGCCTGATTTTAAATTTGGGTTAGCAGTTATATAATACATGTTTGAAAATCACTCTGGTAAATTGTAACCAGTCTGTATGTTGAAGCAAAAATGTATACAGTATTGCCTTTTTGTTCCAGATTGAACATATAATTAAAAATTCTTCGCATAAGTGTCATTAAAGTTGTGGTTTCTACGTTTGAGAATTGCTGTGCAATGTTCATTGGTAATCTTCAGACTTCAGAGGGTCTTGAAGCCCTAAATATTTACTTGTCAGATAAAAGTTATGTGAATGGATTTAGACCAAGTCAGATTGATACATATTTCTTTGAAACACTGGACAGTTGCCCATCAGACAACTTTCCTCATGTGTGTCGTTGGTATCGACACATTTCAAGCTTTGGATTGGAACGGAGGAATTTTCCCTCACAAATTAATGCTACAGAGGGTATAAACAGGAATGTCAGTGAAAGTTTGGTGTCCATTATGGAGAATAACAGAATTGACAGACCACAGGTGAGAGACTCGTAAGGACAGTTACATTCAGGCTTTTGATGTGTCAGCTTCCTACCACAGCAAGACATATTGTCAGGTTGAAGATAGAGGAGGCAACCTCTAGATATACTGGATGGTTGTAAATATGTTTGGCCGGTCACGGTAGCTGAGCGGTTTAAGGAATGCGCTGTCTTCGCTCGCTCGGAAGCCGGGATCGTGGGTTTGAATCCCACTCAGGGCATGGATGTTTATGTGCGTTTTTCTGTGTTTGTCTACAGGTAGAGGCCTTGCGACAAGCTGATCACTCGCCCAAGGAGTCCTACCGAACGTGTAAGATCTAGTAAACCGAAGTGAAACGGAGAGTTTCATGGAGGTAGGCCTAGGCCCAAATTGGGGCTGTAGTGCCACAGAAAAAAAAATGTTTGAATAAGCAGGTGTGGACAGACAACAGAGGATGATTTTCCAGCCTTGAAGTTGGGAAGGGGGCTAGCAGTCCTTCAACACAAAAGAACTAGCATATTACCAAATGTTACACGGGCCTTATACAGATTATTTGGGAGGACTTAAATGTCCAGAAAGGGACATGAAATTTGGAACTTGGAATGACAGGAGTTTGTATAAGTCAGATTCATCAAAAACCTAAAGGAACGGAACAACTTGGAAAATGACCTTAAAGAAATAGGGGTTGAGGTTGTAGACTGAATTCATGCTTCTCAATGAATCTTTGTGTTCTGTAAGAGGCAGGAAGTGATATCTTGACTAGTTTAGGCACTGTTAGCTTGATAAGATGGACTGTGCTCCATGGAGGTAGTTGAGTAGGCAGGTAGATGTCTTCATGCCAAGAACGTAAACTATATAATTCCATCTGTTGCTTGTGCTATGAACAAATTAAGTCCCATTACCTAAACTAACACCATGGAGCTGAGCCCTTCTTGAGAAGCTGCTAGTTCTGCAGCTACTTAAGAATTTTGCAACATTTGATGGAACACAAAGGTTCATTACCATGTTCAGAAAAGCTCTCAACTGGTCTCTATACTGAGCCAAATCAATCCAGTCCATGCCACCCCACCCTATCTAATATCCATTTTAATATTATCCACCCACATATGCCTTGGTCTTCCTAGTGGTCTCTTTCCTTGTGGCTTCCCCACCAATATCCTATATGCATTCCATTTTCTCCATTTGTACTATATGCCCTGCCCATCTCATCTTCCTTGACTTGATCATTCTGATTATACTTGGCGAAGTGTACAAGTTATGAAGTTCCTCATTATGCAGTGTTCTCCAACCACTTGTCACTTCATATCTCTTAGGTCCAAATTTTCACCTCTGTGCCCTTTTCTCGCACACCCTTAGTCTATTCTCCTCCCTTATTAGCAGAGACTAAGTTTCACACCCACATAGAACCAGAAACAGAAGTATAGTGTTTTATATTTTTAATTTTTATTTTTTTTAACATCAGATGAGAAGGCAAAAGTTCCTATACTGAATAGCCTCTAACATTACCAATATTCAATCTCATCTTAATTTCCTCTTGAATCGGGTTTTGATTTGTTATAGTCATTCCCAAATATCTGAAATGTGCCACATTTTCAAAGCATCTGTTAGCTATCTTTATGTCATGATTTTGCCCTGCAATCTGGCGATGAAGGGGGCATGCAATAGCATAGTTGGTTGAGGCACTATGCTACAAGCTGGAAGGTCGCTGGTTCAATACCCAATGATGCCACTGAATTTTTCAATTGACCTAATCCTTCCAGCTGCAGTATGACCCTGGGGTCAACTCAGCCTCTAACAGAAATGAATACTAGGAATATACTTGGGGTTAAAGGGCGGTTGGCGCTTAGGGCTGACAGCCTTGCTGCCATCTGTGAGCCGATTGTCTAGAAAATGTGGGAGCCTCAACATCTCACAACCCTATGGGCCTCCACTGCCTGTTACAGGGATAGCTTTACTTTTACTTTTATCTGGTGATGAGACAGCAACATATACTTAGTTTTCTCTGCGCTTAGTTGTAGACCAACCTCCTTACTAAATTTCAGTTAAAGTTTCTGTTTTTCTTTATGGTGTCTATGTTATCTCCCAATAGATTTCACATCATCAGTGTAGACGAGCAGCTGATATGTTCCATTTAGTTTCAGTCCCACCTGGTTTTCCTGGAGCTTCCTAATGGCATGTTCTAAAGCAATGGTGATGAAGCATCTCCTTGTTTATACCATTCTGGGTAGGAAACTTATCAGACAGATGTTGTGGGCTTCATCGCCGACCTTTTCACGGCCTTCTAAAAAGGCCTTGTGCCACTGGTAGACCTGACGTTAAGTGGCCTCCATAATCTAGAGGTAACGTTCCCACCTCATGAATCGTAGTACGTGGGTTCAAATACCCGGCGGAGGTCGTCGAATTTTTAAGGGTGGAAAAATTCAGGGAACAAGTCCTCCGGGAGGGACTTTAAGCCGTGGGTCCCGTGTTGTAGCTTTACGGCACGTAAAAGAACCTCATACCTCCAAAGGAGGTCACTGAACCAAAATTGCGGACGTTTCCCGCCCAACAGCAGTCACTAATACCTCTGGTAGATGGTGGAAGCATTATAGATACCTCTCAGCTAGTAGAGCCGGTCTTGCTGGCTGGGCGGGACTGATGGTAAGGACCAATACCGGTAGGATATAGAGACTGGTAGAAATCACAGAGGGAAGCACAATGGACCACTACAGGTCTAAGTGCATGGGGAAACCCACCCTCTCCAATAACTAACTATCTAACTAGCCCTGACGTTCCGACAAACAATCATCACCGAAGGCCGTCTTTATCATGGGAAAAGTTTCCACTGCAGACTTGATTGTATTAAAATACTTATGTTGGGGGTTTTCCTAAAATTGATACATACAACTATGTTAGATTAAGATTTTTGAATGCATATAAATATTTTGGATTATGGAAACAGTACGCCACAGTGTTGTATTAATGCTAAACATGTGTTGAATCACTGTTAGGTTTGTCTTGCTGTCCCCAACACTGCGACGCTATTTACTCACTCTCATTTCCTTGTTTTGCGCACTTAACCCCGTTCTTCCATATATTTTGCATTTGACGAGTTGATTCATGTTTGAACTACTGGACTGCACAGGATTATGTCCCAGAAGATAGAACTCTTTAAAATGATATTCATTTATGACAGGGCTCAAAACTGGGAAGAAAGTGTAGTGCCATGCAAAGCATGTACGCACGTATTTGTAACACCCACCGAGTTGACACTGTGTTATGTAAACATGTAGTCATCTCTCAACTGTTATTAACTCCAAAATCATATGAATTTATGTGCCATATTTTAATGTGGTACATTTTCATAACAGGTTAGTGCATTTGTAGAGGTTTTATATTGTATTCAGGAGGTGCCTGATTTGCTAGGCATTATGAGATATTTGTATGTTTTCTCCAGTCTTGCTCTCAGAATGCCTTGATACAATCAGTAGTAAAATACATTACACAACTTTTCTGGTACCTGTTGCATATTTGAGAAATGCTTACTCTTGTAAGCCGTTATTATTATGTAGGAATTTATTATGGAATTTGAGCAGTATTGTTACATATAACCTCAAGAAAATTATCGTTTTGTTTGTACCAGCAACCATGTTTAAAACGTTTAATGTCTCCGTTCGATTTTTTTTTCTTCATATTTGTGGAACGTGTGTGAGATTTTAAGATGTGAGGTTTCTTTGTACATTTAATCAATTTTATATGCCGAGTAAGGGTGCTAAGGAAAATATTTTGACATGAGAGGGGAAGTAACAGCAGGCTGGAGAAAATTGTAGAATGAGGAGCTTTGTGATTTATACTTTCTGCTAAAGAATATTGTGTGAACACATCGAGGATGGGTTGGGTGGGGCATGTAGAATTCATCAGAGAGATGAGAAATGCATACAGAATTTTAGTTTGAAAACCTACAAGGAAGAGACCACTTAGGAGCCATAGGCATAGATGTGAGGATAATATTAAATGGATCTTAAGTAGGACTTAATGTTATGGGCTGGATTCATCAGGTTCGGAATAGAGTCCATTGGTGGGTTCTTTGAACATGTTAGTGATAAACATACTACCACAGTCAATAAGTTCGTGGACTGGATGCAAAGCATCGTTGCAATGCACAACAGCAGGTAGGTTGAGGCACGATATGATGCCCTGTCAGTTCAACTCTCGTCACAGCAAGTGGCAATTTTGTGCAAACAGTGTAAGAAAAACTACGGCCTCTATTGTGAACTGCAGTTAAATGCAAGTGGCAGAAATTGAAAATGTGGCAGTTTGAACCACGGGCAAACATCAAGTTCTGCCAGAAACTAGGCAAATCACCTTGTGAAACATTTGGTGTAGGAAGAATTGGCTGTTGCTACATGACAACGCCCCTGCACGTCACTCTGTTCTTGTCCAGGAGAAACTGGGAAAGCAACAGGTCATCATTTTGGCATACCCTCCGTACTCACCTGATCTTGCACCATTCTAGTTCTTTCACTGCTTGAAAGCAAAGCTACGTGGTTGTAGATTTCAGTTGCCCAAGGAGGTCGTCAATGCCACAAGAGATGCCGTACAAGAATTTCCTGTCAGTATGTTTCAGCACTATTTTTGGCAGCTGTATCAACGTTGGCAGACTTGCATAGTGGCCAACGGCAACTATTTTGAGGGCCAATATGGGTCTGTGTAAGTGTATGTGAATACCTTGTAATAGGATGCGATAAAACTACAGTCCACGAACTTAATAACTTTACCGTGTATATGTTGCTTTCTTTATATCCCCTACCTTCTAGGAATGTGTAATAACTGTATCCATAGTGTGTATATAGTAACCATCGTTTAGTGCATACAGTTTCACTTGTCAATTCACACTACATGTTTCGGCATCATTCTGCCATCCTCAGGTGTATTAATCACGTTAAACCATTGCACTGCCTGCCATGAAGTGTCCATTTATAAAATGACATAAAATGTGTGTTCATCGTTGTTCAATAATAAAATTTTAAAATTTACATATTAAAACGTGCCAAGATCTATCATCTTACATGTGTAATAACTGGATTATGTAATTGTAACTTAAAATTATGTCCATCTTTGCAATCAGACTAATTTGTAGTAATGATGATTTTCATGAAATAAGGTAAAGGTAAATTTGTCCCTGCTCGTAATTAATTAAGCACCTCACCATGATGTATGGTGATTGGGGGTACGATCATTCTTGACCTTGCGTACTAGACAGGGGTGAGTGGTCAGCTTCACATCCCAGCCACTTTACCCCTGGGGAAAGTTCCCTGAATGCCCATTGGCCAGTAGGTTGGGTGGGTACCAGAGCCAGTCTGGGCACTGTGGAGTAGAGACAAATTACTTTCCCCTTCTAGGAATTCAACCCTGGCTATCCACTGTTGCTATTCCAGAATAGTACCCTGAAAAAGGCCATGACTGCTCTCATACTCCATTTCAGTTTACTACAGTAAATGCATGTTCATCTTCGGTGTTGGATCCATTGAGAACAGCACATTAGGTAAATCCGTTTTAGAGAACTTTGTTAATACCTTATGGGTTGAAAGGGATATATAAATGTGATTGCTTTCTGCATGAAGTCTCCCATTAATACCTAAGAGGATGAGAATGTAATGAAACCAAAAACACTATGACATATTCATATGGGAAGTAAAAATACAGTTAAACATTGTATTTTATTGTAAATTACATGCCTGTGAATGGCGGTGAAGATTTTTATTGGTAGTGGAGCTGATGATGAATGGTTTCAAGGATGATGGTTTTGATGAAACATTTGGAAGTGGAGAAAATTAGTGCATGTTGGCATGAATGCTGTTGGAGCATGTGTGGAAGGCTGTGTGTTCATATTTATTTTTGTTTGTATAAGTAAATCATCGCTTTACAAATATATCTTGGACAAGGATTTACTGTATTCACAAATTATCTTGCCATTTGATACACAAGATGTTTAAAAAGTTTTACTGAATCAGCTTTGAAACAAAACTCTTGGGTCTTTACCTATGGATGTGAAATAATAAAGCAACAGAATTTGATTTTCAGTTAGAAAATTTCATACAAATCAACTTATTTCTGGTGGTTTCTTTTTTTTTTTCTTTTTTTAAATAAATTGAAACTTCACTTTGTCTCAAATGCGACCATTGAATCATCCCTCATTTACTGATTGAGTTTTCATGTTTTTCCTTAGTCCCTCCAGGAAGGTGCTGGAACAGCACCTGAAATTAGGTCAAGAGCCTTTCCTTCCACATCTTTTTCAGTTGCTTACTGAAATCCTATATGTAAGCATCCTGTATGTAAAGTAAAAAGTAAAAGGATCCCTGTAACAGGCTGTGAAAACCCATAGGGTTGTGAGACATTGAGGGTCCCACATTATCTAGACAATCGGCTCAAAGATGGCAGTAAGGTCAGCCTTATGCGCCAGCCGTGCTTTACTCCCCAGGAAAATTATTTAATTAAGTCCTGGTACTCATTTCTTTTAAAAGGCTGAGTCAACCCCAGGGCCATAGTGCAGCTGGAAGAATTAGGTCAATTGAAAAATCCAGTGACCTCATCGGGACTTGAACCCATGACCTTCTGGCTTGTAGCATGGTGCCTCAACCAACTACGCTACCATGTGCCCCCAAGCATCCTGTTGCATTACTATATATGAAACTGTCTATGTACTACACAGTCTGTCAATAATGCAACAAATTGTTCCTTCTTTCTTACACTTTCACTTTCGACACGACATGTTTCGCCCCTAAATGACCATTTTCGAGTGACTTACTGAATTGCCATATAATTTATTATATATTTTTTCAGTTGCAAGTTTTGAACCAATTTAATAATTTAATTAATTTCTGTGACTGTTCATCAAGCATTTATAAATCTGGTATGAATTTTATAGAAAAAATGTTAATTTCTAGCCTTTCTTGTAATAGGAGGTCAAAAAGACCAGACTGACTCAAACTGTGACTTGTAGCATAAATTTCATACCATGAATGATCAGAAGTCATGCATCAGTTCAAGAGATGAATTGTGAGGAAAAACAAATGCAGTATCCCATTTTTCCTTTTACACAGCTCTTATAGAAAGTCTGTTTTTTACACAAATATGAAAATTTTGTGTGTGCATTTTGAATGTACTTATTTTCGTGCAGTTGAGTACATTTAAGATCCTCTGATGTCTTTAAATTGCATATCTCTATTTTTTGTCAGCATTTTCGAGCCATAAATTCAAGCTTGTGATTGAGTCTTGTGTTTTGTCTAATAATTATTTATGATTTATTGTACAATTTGTGTTTTTCATTTCAGATGGCAAAAACAAAAGTACACAAGGACAAGAAAGATAAGAAAGGAGTAGATGACAGAGTTAATGTTTCAGAGCTCAATCCATGGCCACCATACATAGAGGTGTGTACTGAATTTCTGTTCCATGGTGGCCCGTAATATGATAATTATGATACCAATACTGTATTACAGATAGTGGCAGCAGTAATTTCAGGCCACATAGCATAATTGAATATTTAGCCTTTCTGATTATAATTCCCATTCTGGGTTTTTATGGTTTTCTCTAGCCCTTCCAACCAAATGCTGAAATAGTACCTCAGAAAAGGGTTGCGTTTTCGTTTGAATCCTTCTGAGTCAGTCTCTTCTTCTGTTATCTTACCATTTGATACACAAGATTTTTAAAGAGTTTTATTGAATTAATTTTGAAACAGAATTCTCTTGGGTCTGTACTATGGATCTGGAATAATAAAGCAACAGTATTAAATACAAATCTGGTGGTTCCTTCATTTAAATTCATTGAAACTTCACTTTGCCTTCTTAAACGTTACTTTTTGGAATTGCAACAGTTGCTGCATTGATTTATATTCATTCATTTCAACATCATCTATATCTCCCCCACTCTTTTGCATTTTGTCTTTCAAATTACTTTAACTATATAATAAACAAAACAATCATATAGTCCTGTCTAGTGAACAGGGAGATTCGGTTACGAAATACTATATTTATACAGGCAAAGATTGCCATATAAGCTGGACTGATTAGATAGGTAGATAATTTGCCACTTGCGGGATCCCTATTTTGGCTTCCATTAATTATACATTGCATCATAGAGGAATCTAGTACTTCTAAATGAGAATGTTGCTTAGTAGTGGAGCATAATCTTGGTGCACAGTACCACTCTCTGTATGCAGAAATGTGATCAAAAACACACAAATGCACAGCCTCATCAAAGAACAAAAACAGAGTGTTTTAAGCTATTCCTCTTCGAAGCTTCAGTATGATATCAAATTGTTCTTGTAAACGGGACCACAAATGACCAGTGTAAATGTTGTTGTATCTTATTTTTCTTATGTCTACAGGAAAGGATTCATTTGTGGAACAAGTTTAAGTTGCAGTATGAGGCAGAACTGGCAGCTAAAATACCATTTCCTATAAAGATTACATTGCCAGATGGAAAAATTGTTGAAGGGCAGTCATGGCGCACAACTCCTTATGAGGTTGCTAAAGGAATCAGGTATGCCAAACATTTAATGTTTTTAGCATTTTCTTTTGTCAGATTTTTCTCATGATCTTTTCCAGTCAAAACATTTTATGCATGTCTCCTTAGCCAGTATGTTTCAGCCATTTTCCTGTACATATTGTGGTATGTCTGTGAAAACCAGAATAGTTCAGTCAGAAGAGACATCTGTTACTAGGTTATGACACATTGAATACCACCTGTGTGTAGCAGAAGTTATACATATAACAGTAGAGAAATTGTGAGAAGTGGTGTTCTCTGTCATGGCCACCCTGATGCTATATCTGGAGAACAGAAACTGATGTTAATGCAGTCAAGTAGGGAGTGGTTAGCAGTCTGCAGACGAGGTGGAAGCAAGTGCTAGCCAGCAGCAGCCAGTGGAGGCCAGGTGTGGGACTAGGTTTCAATGACCAGTGTTAGCAGCCATAAATAGTTAGTCATGAGATATGTGCCAGCCACCAAGGACAGGAGCCATTGAGCACCAGAAGCTGAGGAATCAATGGCACTGGGAAATATTACCATGCAGTGCCTAAGTTAATTGTAAAGGGTGTGAATTAGTGATAGCTCTGTAATTACCTGTAATGAATAGTAAAGTGTGGGAACTAGTGAAACTATTTTAGGATCTGCAGTTAACAAGTTATAAGGATCCAGTAAGTGCATCTAGGCCACGCCATAGGTCAAGTGGTTAGTCGCTGGCTTCCCACTGTGGTGGCCCGGGTTTGATTCAGGGTGTGGGCAAGTGTGATTTGTGGTGGACAAAGTGGCGCTGGGGCAGGTTTTCTCAGAGTACTTTGGTTTCCCCTGCCAATCTTCATTTCACCAATTGCTCCACAATCACTCTCACCTATCATCTGGGGCTGGTACGATAGGCCAGAAGTGGCCGCAGTACAAGGGACTTGGTCCCACCGCACTAGCAATAAAAAAAAAGTGTAACTACCAATCCAAGCCTTATCCCTAGTCACTGACCATGTGACACCTGGTGTCAGAAGTGGGATAATTGGATTGGATGGGATCTGATTCATTGAATTACTGGGCTCAAAGCCACATTGAATGGTTACATTGTTATACCGCAGAAATGGAACCAATGATGGAATGCCTGCTGGCCAAAATGAATGCCTTGTGAAAAAAAGATGGACTCCAGTCAAGAAAAGACGGATGACCATTAAAGAGATGAAGGCTGACTGACAGATGAGAGCCAAAATGAAGACCAGTCTAGAAGAAGTGAACACTCAAAAAGTTGCTCTTGTTCTGACATCTGTCAGCCAACAGACACTGGGCCTTCATAAGGAACTTGACGCAGAGGTTGAAAGAATGGCAGCTGGGTCACAAGCGGTGACAGTGCCCCTATATGCATGGATCCAGGGCTTCCACAACCAAGGTGGTGGGAGGATTGAAGAAACAGAACTGCACTTAAGAATTAGTAACAGATGACTCTTCTGATTAAACTATTCTGGCTTTCTGTGGGCATGCCGCAATGTAATATTACATATTTCTATCAAAAGTTTCAAGAATAATCAAGAGATGGCAGCACAGTATTGAAATGGTAGCTGTGGTGTTTGGTTGATATCCAGCTGCAAGAAAAAGAAAATATTGCATCGTAATATATCACCATCTGATTTGCAGAGGAAATGTCCAGTAAAAATGATCAGTAGGTAACAGCACATGTTATGGTACTGAAATGATTGCTTTGGCATTTGGGGGTCATTGTTACACTGGTTCCTGCAATTGAGCTGGGTTGATTACTTAGATTTTTCTTAAAAGCCGATTGTTATGTGTAATGAATGAAATGCTAGTTTTTATTTGTAGAACCTTCTTCTGTTAGAATATTTTCTTTGTAATGTCATGTCCTTACTGTTGAAAAGCTGCAAACAGACCAGAAGTACTGATATTTTTAGTAACATGTCTTGTACTTAACATTGAAGGCGTTAATATTGGTCCACCTTTATCTGGCGGAGACTTACCAGAGATGTGGCTCTTGTGACTGCATTATGGAAGTATAACCATTATGTATGGTACAGATGATGTGACCCCTACCAGAGTTAGGTTAACTATAAGTATAGTATTTAAATGTTAAATATGATTTTCTGTTCAATATGTTACCAGCCACTTGTAACCAGAGCAGTTGACTCTACTATAAATCCATTAACCAGCCTGTAGGCTGAGTCAGCTGCTCTGGTTACAAGTGGCTGGTAACATATTGAACACAAAATCATATTTAACATTTAAATACTATACTTATACTTATACTAATGTTTCATTAAGGATTACAGCTGCAACCTGCAGATCATTTTCTTGCTATCCTGAAGATTGCAGCTGCACTGCTTACCACAGTGTTAGTTACGCTCAGGCAATCAACATTGCTAAAATTCAGGAACCAGGATATGACGGTTAATGCTGACCATTAAAGCCTGTTGTGTTTCAGCCAGGGACTAGCAGAAAATTCGGTGATTGCCAAAATAAATGGAGAACTGTGGGATTTAGACAGGCCTCTTGAAAAGGATTCCAAACTACAGTTACTGAAGTTTGATGATGAAGAAGGTAACTATGAATAAAATGTAGATATATACAGATACTCTTAACAGAGGAAGTGTTTTTACTACTACTCTGATTTAACATTATAAATCTCAGGCATTTTAGATTTGGGAAGAAAATGAATTCAGTGTTTACTTATTGCTGGTGATCAGTATATTTATGGTTCGTCTGAGAGTTTCAGCTTCTCAAAATCAAGATAGTGATGGAAAGCTGTTATTATGTCTCAGAAAAGATAGTGTGAAGCCTTCATGAAACAAAATTCAAGGTGCCTTATAAAGTCCCTACTACATTAATACCAGCCTCTTTTTCATTCATTTAGGGCACCCTGTTCTAACAAACAGGGGCAACTGGGCAGTTCAGGCATTACATATATAGTGGATACAACATTGTGTCACATTCCAGAAGATAATGTTCTGCATAATCACTTCTGTGTGGACATCAGATTTAACAAACGCAATACATTTAATTGGTGAATGATGTAACTTTGTTTTAAAAATGAATAGATACCTGAAGAGAGCAATTTATGCATGTTATTATGGTTTTCCATTTCCAGATTTATAGTTTTAATGCAATGGTTTATGAATTAAAAAAAAAATTACCCATCTGTGCTCTGTTTTACTGGTGCTGGGTTTTCTTTCTGTCAGGGCAGCAAGTGTTCTGGCATTCTACAGCACATATACTGGGTGAAGCTATGGAGCGGGTATATGGAGGCTGCTTGTGTTATGGACCTCCTATAGAGAATGGATTCTACTATGACATGTTCATAGATGATAAGCAAGTAAGGCTATTCTGTTATCATGAAGCTGTTGATCTGAGATCTGAGTTGAATATATTCGCTTCCATAATAAGGCTTTGTCTATACAGCACAGATCTTGTTAAGATTTTGTTTTGTATTTCTATTTAGAGTTATTTAATTATGCCTTTAGTTGCCAATGTTATATAGTGTTGAATGATTGGATGACTAATGAAAAATATGTTGGAAAGGATATGGAAGGAAGTGGTTTCAGCATAATTTAGGGTACTTCTGTGACATTTGCTTGGAAGTATTGAGGAAAACCACAAACAACCTCAGGTTAACTGGTGTCTGAATTGAGATATGAACCAAGGACTTTACAAATACCATGCAGAAGTGCTATCCACTAAGACTGTAATATTAGGTGTTTTGATTTTATCATGCAGTGGCTCCCAAACTTCCAGATTAATTCTGATATAATGAATACTTAAGGCATTTGATAGTATTCTTGGAGATCATCCCAGTGCAAGGCCACTGTGTACATGGGAAGATGCAGCACAAAGAATATGGGCATAAATTTGTGTAATTTGAGTCTGCAATACCAGTGGTCAAGTGTCCCAAGTTGTCATTGCCTTACTCTGCATGCCTACATTGATTAGTACATAAGAATAACAGAACAGTGAAAGTGATGGTGGTGGTGGTGGTGGTGATGATAACAGAAATGACAACAGAGGTGTTACAGGATTGTTGTCTCCTGTGTTGTTACATGTTGTAGTTCTGCATGTGGATACTGACATCTTTGAGAAATGTGCTGTAGCTTTTGTGAAGGCTGAAGTGTGTGTTTTGGAAATAAGCTTAGTTATATAGGAAAGTTACAAGGAAGGTGGTTATGGGACCCAAAAAGAGGGGGTAAAAGAAAGGAATCCAGTCATAGCCAATGGGAAGAAATGGACAAAAAATTATCTCATTTATTGCAAAGAGGTTGGAAAATGGAATAGTGAGAGAGAACAGACTTTTCCAGCTATTCATGATGGTTTTGGGTAGGAAAGCAAAATTATGTAAAGAATGGACAGAAATGGTCTTTCTCAGGGCTAACATAAGTTTTTCTCACAGAGGTGAACTTTGAACTTCAAGAGTGGGAAGGAAACAGTTTTTTAGGGTCCCAGGTGCAGGGAAGTGGGGAAACAATTGTTTTTTCTCTGTCAAGGGCCTGGATAGAGGAATGTCTCTTAGGAGAAAGTCACTGGTCTATCCTTGGAGAGGAACTGCTATTTCCTTTCATTCAGGGAATGGATGAGATGCTTCATTGATCTGCTAAGGGAAAACCTCTCATTCCTCTTCATGTTGGGGGCAAGCTTGATCTCTGTTGCTTCCTGTATGAAGCAGTCCCTGTACCTGGACTTAGCCCCTGCACTGATGTTCAGCAGGTCATGGTGGCCCAGGTGATTGCCATGTTCTGCTATGACAAATTTCTTGCATTGATACAATTTGATGTGATGGTGGTGGTGTTGAACTCTGGGCAAGTTGCAGTGGTAGGTTCTTGTGAATGCAGTAGTGAGCTCCAGGTTCTGTAAGAGGTGGGGAATTTATTAGCTAGCTAAGGAATTCTGCTGCTCTGTGGGGTTAGTTTAGTTACAAGTAGTTTACATTTTTCGCTGACAGTGGTGATTTGGATTGTCCTTCCATTTTGCAGATAGGAGTAGTAGTCTCTTTCCTGGACATCTGCAGAAGCAAGAATATCCTATTTTGCATTGTTTTTTAAGCTTCAAATAAAAGAAGAATGTTTAAAACTTTTTCTGATGATCGAATATCATTTGCAGCCTTCCTTAGAAAAGTTTATAATGTGTATGTGTCCCATAAAATATCCCTTTGAACAGTATTTGATTTTCTGTTATCACCATTGGTGATTGGTATTGTGAAATTTGTATTCTGACTTTGGAGCATGTCTGAAATATAATTTGTCTATTGTGCTGAAGGAAACTTTTTAAAAGTAGCATTTTCACATGCACACAGTTTATAATACATGAATGTAGTTGGTTTATGTTAATTTGTTAATGATTCTGCACTTTGTTCTTTTCTTTGAAGGTGTCTAATTTAGATTTTCCAGTTGTGGAGAATATCATGAAAACGATTGTGAAAGAAAAACAAAATTTTGAACGTCTTGAACTCAGAAAGGAGGATCTGCTGGAGATGTTCAAGGTAATTTATAAATGTTGCAACTAGTTGTATTTAAATTGAATGTAACATGCAAGTCATAAGAGTTAGCATATATATATGCAAAATATGGGTTCAGTGTTTTTGAAGTAGTAGGGTCCATGACTCATAAACTCTAGGAAGTCTGTAAGGCAAAGGGTGTGTTACATAAACTCCCTCCTGCCTTAAAGCAAACATTACTGTCATGTGTTGCAGCCCATTGATACAGAGGAGCAAGTGGTGGCTGAGTCATGATAGTATAACAAGTACATATGGTGCAAAGGAAGTATCATTACTAAATATTGGGTTAGATTAGATTTAAGTGCGGTTTTCAAATTTTGAATTTCATGTAACCGTTGTTGACCAATATTTATAACAGTTGCAGTTAACATCAAGTACAAACCTGTTAAATTGACAAATCAAATCCTAGGAGTATTCATCACATAATGGAATTAAATTAGCTATATTTAACCAGCAGGGCTCAGCAAAATGCTCTGTATGTTTTAGTTAGGCTCTGGGTGTCTTCAATATTTTTGGTATCCAAACAGGTTCGGAAGACACCACTTTATAATGGATTTTTATGTTCCCTTCGACAAAATACAGGGAGGTTCTCACCTTTGTTGATCAATTCACAGACACCGGTACACTGTGAGGCTTAAGAGAGTTTTGTTGCTGATTCAATATGCCTGTTGGCTGATAATGTTCGAACTGAATTAGTTACAATTCACAGATGACAGGAGGTGTTGAAAATGCTGTCTCTCTACATGCAGAAAGTCCTTGTACTGGCAGAAGAGCTTCTGATTTACCCTTTGAAGCTGTTCTGCGGGAATATTTGCAATTTCCCTGTGAATATTTTCTTTTAGTTCTTCTTCTCTTGGAAGATTACTGCTGTAAACTTTGTTCTTCAAACAGTCCCAGAAGAAAAAATCACAAGGTGTCAGATCAGGTGACATGCTGGCCAAATATCAGTGCTGGTAATTCTGTCCCCAAAGATATTGGACAAAGCCTGCATAGATATACATGCAGTGTGGGCAGTGGCTGAGTCTTGCTGAAACCAGCCATAGAGTGTTTCTTCTTCTGTTAGCTCTGGAAAGAAGTGCCCGAGGATGACCTGTATATATCTTGTGCAATTAATTCTTTTGATAAAAGAAACAGGTCCAGCAGCCCTCCTTGCACATAAGCACACCAGATACCAACTTTTATTCTATGGAGCAGGAATTACGTGTTAGATGTGGATTCTTTGAACTCCAGGAGGGATTATTTTGCGTATTGTCAATGTGGATGTCAATTGTGGATTGATCTTACTCTAGATGACAGACTGTAGAAACCAACTGCAGAAGTGAACCCTGCTGGCTGGATCACACCACTGCAAAGCATGGGTTACTGTTGTGTTATATGGTCTAAGCTTCAGCAGTTGTGTTGCCTTTCTTACAATAGACTTTGACACTTCAGTCTCTTGAGCTAGATTTTTCAATGATTTTCTAGGTGTATGTTCAAGTCTGGCTCTTGTGTCATCTGACTTTTTCTCAGTAAGCACTTGGAATTTATGTTTTTGTTCCTTGCCTATTAGGAGCCCTGTTGATCAAAGTTTATTCACCAAATTGTGAATTATTTGTCTGTTGGGATCTCTTTCATCAAAAAATTTATGTTGAAATTTTTGCCTATACTTTCTAGCAGATCCATATTCCACGTAGGTATCAAACAAATACACGTTGCTCTGAAGTATAGTGCACTCTGATGTAATGTGCTGCTTACTAATTGTAATTAGAAGATATGCTTATTGAAGCTGATAACTGCCGCCCACTGTTGACAGGTCATAAACAAATTCTGCACTGCTTGTCATGAAACATAATGCTGTCAAGCAGTTCACAGAATTAATAGTTTTCCTTCATTCAAAACGTTATCAGCCATTAGGCATACTGATTCATTGTCAAAATTCATGTGCACCTCACAGCCAGTGGTGCACCAGTCACCATGAAGCACAGGGCCATGAACTGGTCAACAGAGTTGAGCACCTCCCTGTACAATCCCTCTGTTGTTATGAAATACTTTTGCCATTTTATATGTCCTTACTGGTGACAGTCCTACTGGACTTTGTTTGCATCTATCTTGGTGATCACACTATATCACATTTTTGTAGAATTGCTTTTGTTGTAGAGGAAAGGAAGAAGTCACTGGGAGAGTGTCTTATTCTTATTTGTCCATCTGTTCTGTGCATGTTTCTAGTACAACCAATTCAAAGTACGCATACTCAATGAGAAAGTCAACGCACCAACAACAACCGTATATCGATGTGGGCCACTTATTGATCTCTGCAGAGGACCACATGTGCGGCATACTGGGAAAGTAAAGTCTTTCAAAATTACAAAGGCAAGTAATATGTGCCCTCAGCTACCTTTCATCTTGGGCCATGAAAACCATTAATCAAACGGAAATGTCAAGTCTACTTCCTCTTCCTTTTCATCATTTGTCTTCATATTTTTACTGCTTTTGTTTAATTTTTTAACAATTTCATGTGTATTCATTTCAATCTTGCCATTTTCTAAATGCAGGAATGTGTCTTATTTTTAATTAAAACCCAGATAATTACATTTTACTTTCATAGAACCTGGCTGTTATTTTTATGTCATGTGTTTTTAAGAATGTGTAACTTGGGGGGTGCTTGGTGTGAATCTCAGCTGGGACACTGGCTGTCCTTGTGGATGTTTTTTGTACTTTTCTTTAGTCCCTCCAGTCAGATGCCAGGTTAATACCTTGTGCAGGCTACAGTCACTTGCAGATCATCTCCAATTTATTAGTCATCCTACCGTTTGATGCTACTGACAATATCATAAAATAACCTGCCACGGAAAGAACATGTTCCTTGGAATGTGTTTCCCTTTCAAGTAAGGGTATTCCATATTAATTGGTTTAGTTAGTTTAAGGTACTGCACTTGACTTTATGTTCTAATTTTCTATCCTGAGAACCATGTGATGCTTTTCCTGCTTGCTGAATTTGGATAAGAATGCTTTGATTTTAAAATGATGATTTTTAATTGCAGAATTCTGCTACATACTGGGAAGGGAAGAGTGAAGCTGAGTCTCTCCAGAGAGTTTATGGAATATCATTTCCAGACAGCAAGCAGTTAAAGGAATGGGAAAAATTCCAGGAGGAAGCTGCAAGACGGGACCATCGGAAAATTGGCAAGGTTAGTGATTGTGTTCTTGGTCTGAAAGCAGATGGATTGTAAACCTTGATGGCTTTACAAATTAAGTCTTTCATTACAGGAATTTCTGAATCTAAAACTGCTTGATGTAATAAATGCTCAGTCATTTCAGTTTAAAGGATCAGTGATTACAGATGTTGAAAAAAATACAGCGTTAATAAACATGTGTAAAATGCATTATTTGATCCACAGTAAAAGAAAGCTTGAAATACAAATTTTTCTAGGATGTTTGTGGTTGGAAATTTATGATGTACAACATGGGTCAATATATGTTCTTGTAGAGTGTTGCATTCAATGGATGGCCATCACAATATGGAATAGGTTTAGTTAAGGCAAGTGTAATAATATTTCAGGGTGTACTTAATAATTTGATTGCCAAATCTTGCCTTTTAGTCTCTCTCAGCTCTCATATTATAGTGTGTTGTACAGTGGAACCTCTGTTATTGCAGTGCCACATGAGCTAGCAGCATATCTCATGAAGGTTATCTGTGTAAACTGTATACACAGAGTGTCCCAGGAGGAAAGGTCAGTATTCTGGGAGGTCATAGTTTTGGTCATTCTGAGCAAAGAAGTGTATGCGTATGTGTCCTATTCCGAACGGTTTCCAAGATAGAGCTATGGATATTATTGCATGCATAAAGGAACATCAGGATGCACTCAGACGGGCAACACACCATACCCTCACGTGAGTTGCAAAGTGCACTGATGTTGGCGGAATTTTCGAAAATGTATTATACTAGGTGGAGGCATGTGGTTGCATATTTGGTTGTGGCACTGTGCTACAAGCCGGAAGGTTATGGGTTCAAGTCCCAATGAGGTGGATTTTTTCAGTTCACCTAATCCTTCCAGCTGCACTGTGGCCCTGGGATCAGGTTAGTCTTTAACAGAAATGCGTACCAGGAACCTCCCTGGGGGCTAAATGGTGGCTGGTGTGTAAGGCTGACAAACTTACTGCCATCCTTGAGCTGATTGTCTAGATAATGTGGGACCCTCAACGTCTCCCAACCCTATGGGCCTTCACGGCCTGTTACAGGGATAGTTTTACCCTTTTTTTTTTTTACCATTATACTAGGTAATCTGTACCAACTTGGTCACTTGAACAATAAGTACCAGTATTAGAAGCAGAACAATATCTCTCATAAACAATGTTGGAACTGTATAGTGAAAAAGCTCTATCTCAGAATCTGTTCAGAATAGGACACATGTGCATATTCACTTTTGTGCTTAAAATAACTCATACTTTGTCCTCCCAGAATACTGACTTTTCCTTGTGGGACACCCTGTATAGTGTGTAGTAATAGTACCAGATATAATGACAGTTGAAAATAGTGGTTACTGTACAGAGTACTTAAAACCTAACAGGTTTTTGCAACTTTGTAGCCAAAATCTAAATGTGACTTGAGGGTGGTAGGGAAAAACCAAAGAGCAGCTCAGATTTTGGTATATTACCTTCACAATTTAATTGTTAACATTGCAGACAATAAAATATGTTTGTCATATGAAGTACTGCATCTTTATATTATAATTTCTTCAGGGGTTCCGTGACTAATAATAACAGGTTCTGGTTTCGATGATTGGATATATTAACACCTTACACAATTTACAGTTTATAAGATTTTAACCACCATCCAGTGTGATTGATAAAAGTTGTGTTTTTAATTTTTCATCCTTTACATGTTTTGCTCAAAACGACCATCTTCAGAAGGATATTACCATGTCAAAGATATAAATATTATATATTTTAACAAATGCTAAGATGTACATTGATTTGTTAAAAAATATGAAAATTATTACAGTAAGTCTGTTTACAAAGCAGTGTACAATATTTATTCTAATCTAGAACCAATTTGGTTCGTTTCATTACACTTCTCATTAATGGAAGATGAATATATTCCACAGCATGGTATCATCTGATGATCAAAGCTCATTTGGTATAACTGGACCATGATACCAAAGAGCTTGAAGTCAGTATGTTTATATAGGCTGTATCGATCATCATGCATATTGTTTCCAAAAGATGCCTTAAATCGTCAGGTTGTGAATTTATACAAAAAAAAATGTTCCATCAGTATTATAGGTAGACTTTTCCTGACTAGGGTATCACCACTTTGTATGAGTTATTTTCAACCACATAGTTGTTCGTTTTATAATTGCTTTTATTATTATTATTATTATTATTATTATTATTATTATTNTTATACAATCTGTAAATTACAATATCTGATTCTATATTCTTTAGAGAAAAAAACAGCGTTTATTTCGTTCGCTTATCACAGAAATTGTAGAAATAGGAGCAAATTTAGTTAAGTGACTACAGCTTTAACGGATCTCAAATAGCGGCCCTTTAAAGAATTCCGTATGGCTGCGAAAACCTAAGTTTAAAGGGCCGTAGGATAAAGGTTAAAATGTAGTGGTTGCAGAATCCCAGCCAGTTGAATGGAAGAAAAATGCTGAAAACTTCAATTGGAAAACCTGAAGAGACAAGACTATTTGGATAGGCTTAGATAAAAGGGTAATATTAAAATAAATCTTTAAGAAATGGATGAAAACTCCGTTGTGTTAATAGATGTTGATTTAGTGCACTGGAATCCCAGTTTAGTGTTCTGTAGTTTGAGGATTGCCCTCGTAGCATTCAGTGTCAGTAATAGCAGTGTTAAATATCCCCTTTTTAAGATTTTCCTCAGTTTAATGTCCAAATCCACTGCTCCACAAAGAAATCTTAAATGGGAGTTTCACTGTATTTTGCTCGCGCACACATGCATTAACATGCACGCGCGCACACTGCTGCTGAGACATGGCCACAGCCTGTTTCACTTTATCCACTTTAGGCAGAGCAGATTGTGGATGAACGAGTGTTTCTCCAGTTACCTGTTCTTGAGGATTATTTCAGAGAGAGAGGTGTTATTTGTGTATATCGTATATTGTTTGCAGGAACAAGAATTATTCTTCTTTCATGAATTGAGTCCTGGGTCATGTTTCTTCTTACCTCGTGGCGCATATATATACAACACACTTGTGGATTTTATTAAGTCTGAATATCGTAAACGGGGTTTCCAAGAAGTTGTCACACCAAATATCTTCAATTCCAAGCTGTGGCAAACTTCAGGACATTGGGCACATTATGCTGTAAGTTTTAGATATGATACTTTTGCTATGAAAATGTAGTATATAAAGTTATATAACTGAACATGTATGTTCTACCAAGTGGAGGTGGGTTCAGATACCTTCAAATTGCTTGTAGAAGACAATGAAAAGGGAACCTGCTCCCTGTAGCATAACTGGACCACCCTGTCAGTAGTGGGTCATAAGTACAGAGATCTTGCCCTCCAGACTAGGGGTTGTATGCAAGGCTGACTACCTTGCTTTGTAAAAAAATTATTGCTGTGAAATCCAAAGAAGTGAAAACTGAATGATGTAATTCATGATAACCTGGCAGACTAAATAAAGACTGACATAGCCAGGAATAGGCAAATGTGGCTGAATCTTCTCAGGTAGGCTTGGTTCAAAGAGGGCTGTTTTGCCCGTGACAATGACGAGGACAAGGATGATAACGGCAGCGATGATGGTGATGATGAGTATGTACTTTACTTGGCGATGTACGGTTCATACTTTTTATTCAGAATTTTTTTGATTAAAAAATGATGTGTTCTGTATGGTATGCATGCCATTCTTACTGTTAATGTAAGTGCTGTACATTATACAGGGTGTCTGTAAATGATTGATACACTTTCGGGGATAAAATTTGAGGAAACTACAAAGTATACCCATGTATAACCGGTATCAGCAGAAAGTCAAATTCACAGAGATTTTACAATTGGTGGTATTTCTCTGTAGGACCTCTCTGTACCTCCAGGCTCCACAATTATCAGAAATGATGTCTCCCACAGGGAAGAGCTTTTGTGTAATTGAGTACGCAAAAACAAATTCATGCACCAGTGTTCAGCAGGCCATGTGACTTCTTTCTGTGGGGTTATGTAAAGGAACAAGTGTGTGTGCCACCTCTACCACTGGATATTGATGATTTGAAGTTGAGAATTACCTCAGCTGTCGAGACAGTTGACAGGAACATATTAGGGAGAGTATGGGATGAGCTGGTTTACAGGCTGGACATTTGTTGGATCATGATGGAGCTCACATTGAGCATCTTTAGGATATGTAAAACTTTCAGAGTTTGTCATTCAAATGATGCTAGTTAAAACTGTATAGCTATAAAACATACCTTGGTATAACAAATTAAAGTGTATCAATCATTTACGGGCATTCTGTATATAGTATACACACACCTTCTTACACACTTGACCTGATAATGTAATATATGATTAATGCTACCACCATATTTAGGGTTGCAAAGATTTGGAAGTTTGATGATTTTAATAAAATCTGGTCAATTATAAACAAAGAAGTCAGATTTTTTTTAAATACATGATTTATGATATAATTAACCTTTAATGTACGGACTTTTAAATTGCCGGGAGCCCCCTGCGGCCAGTATTTAAATCACCCTGATTAATTAAATTTGCAAACCGTCAGAAAAAAATCCATATTTTCCGTTTTATGCAACATAGAATTAAAAACTAAAAACAACCTGAAAGACAATAAATTTTTCTACATATACACAGAAGAGCAATTTTTACAAATGAAAATTAACTGTGATTATTTTGTCATGAATTGCAAAATATAATCTTTATTATATATGTCATGATATTCCAAAGGACTTACCCGTTGTTTATTCTTCAGCCTTGAATCATGGTGATATTGTAAATATAATCACACTATATACTCGTACAATAATATTTTGTTCATACTGTACGCGAGTTTGAACTGCGTCACTTCACAGTTTACGATAACTCACACTCGATGCGCGTGTACTACTTGTCGAAGCAGTCCAACATTCTCGAAGCAGCCGAACCCACACAGCGCAACGTGACACTTTACGTACTTCTGCGCTTCTTATTCTGAGAACAAATACGTCTTAGCTTCCCTTTGGCTGGCCAGTGTTGTGATTGTTTCACCTCCAGTCGACTCAGTTGGGCCCCTTGATAAATTTGGCCCTCTCCCGAGAAACGCCACTGACCGTGATATTCGGGTTGTGCGATTGAAGAATCATCTTGCGGTAGGGGGGTTTCTAGCAAAATCGAATAAATTATGTTGATTGACAAAGTGACACACTCACCTGTTGGTAATATTCACAAAATAGTGATTCAAAGTAAGTATAATACTAGTTGAAAAGAGTGCCAGTCTGACACATACTGAAAGTCACAGTGGCGAAGATGCCTTTACTCACAAAGTACAGGGTCCGGCAAATTGACCTCCCGTATTTGGAGAGGGCGCTGTGTGAGTTGTGGTGGGGATACGGCGGCGGAGGGGGTACCGATGGATAGAGGTATAAGTGCCATTTGCAGTAGTCACAATGGCGTGGCACGGTGAGCATCGTGCGTTTGTTGTGGAAGAGTATATTCGTAATGGTGAATCGGTGATTACTACTCAGCGAGCATTTCGCATTCGGTTCGAACTTGGCCGACATGATCCTGTTCCGGATAGAAAAACTATTCACGTTTGGGTATCAAACTTTAGAGCAAGAGGTTCTGCACTGAAAAAGAAATCGCCTGGCCGACCTC